ATATACGCACAATCTTTTCTCACCTTGCAAATATGATAGCATTAAGAATAGCATTTAATGTCTAGTCTCATTTATATACTTGTATTTTAACTTATATACAGTAAAATTCCATTTCTGCTAATCAGTTCAAGCAGTTTTAATGAACTGGTTTTAAATGAAACTTAGATTCAATCATTCGTTTATATTTGTATCTAAATGTTTTAATTAAAAATATATGTAGATAAATATTGAAGTTTTATTTTCAAAGTATTATATTGGTTGATTTAAATGAAAATGATATAATGTAATTTTCCCTTGTGTTTATTATTTTTTTTAAATCAGTTTTGTAAACATGCCTTGGTATTTTTTGAGTAGATTTTAGTTTTTGTCGTTATTTTGTTTAACTTTTTTTATAATTTTTTTTTGTTTACTTGGCAACAGTTTGTTAAAACAAATTAGCATTCATATGAAACCATATGAATGGTTTAGAACTAGTTTAGAACTATGAATGGTGAACTAGTATCACTATTTTAAATAATTTCAGGGCAAATGCATAAATATTGATATCAATATATAAAAAAAAAATTGTCAGTCAACCTACCCACAAATATCTACTGCTGGTTGGATATCAATTCTTATATAATTATTCCTATTCAGTGTAGAGACAATCCCTGTTTAACATAAATAAAGATCAGGACCTGTGATTAAATACCATTGAACCTTGGTCCTAAACACTAAAAGTGTCTGGCTTCTCTCCTTATGCTTTTTGGGACATTTGGCTAAACATTAATCTAATGTGTTCTCTCCTTTTCCAGGTTACAGCTACTGATGCGGATGGTGGTTCTTTTGGCTCCATCTCCTACTCTCTGGGCTCTGGTCCAGGCAGTGTGACCCCATCTCAGTTCACCATTGGCAAGCACAATGGACAGATCTGTACTACCACCAGCCTGGATCGTGACCAGGGTCCAGCCAACTACGACTTCACCGTCACAGCTGTGGATGGGGTGAGTGTCCAGTGATTCTCAGCAACCTCATCTCTCACCAATTCAGTTGTGACTTCAACTGTGACTGGATTGTTTTCAGAAGTGCAGCAAATAATGTCAATTTAGGAAGCCAGTGGGGGAAAAAACTTGCCTGCATAGTAATTCTTCAGTAGCGATTAAGCATCCTGTGCCTAAGTAATACTTTAAAGCACCAGGCGTCAAAGAAAGGAAATTTCAGGAGACACATTAAAGCAAGCAGGGGCAGCTGGGCCCTAAAGAGCATCAGCTTGTAATATTTAATAAGTTGAGGCTTTTCCTGACATGCCATTTGCTCCATATGGGATGCCAGGCGGGCAAGATGTTTAGCAGCAAGAACCGTATCCCACATGTACACTGTGCCCTTGGCAGATTGCAGTTCTCTACAGGGAATATAATCAATCTATTTCCTTCCCAGAAGTAGCCCTTGAAACGTTTCAGTGTTTCTTGCAAATTTTATCCAAAATATTTTGTCAAGTACAGTTATTCTGGTCAGTTGTGAACGTTTTCTGTGTCTTAAGATTTTAAGGCTGTTATGGAGTCAGCCTTCATCAGTTGGTTGTTTTATAATCTAGTTAGATTTTATTGTATGTTCAGATCAGTTCAGATCTTTAATGACTATTAAAGCAAGTTTAAACAGATTTAATCGAGGCTGTGTTTTTTTTAGGGTGGACTGATTTCAGTGGCCTACGTGCGTGTGGATCTGATAGACATAAATGACAATCGACCAGCATTCTACCCTCTGAACTATGCAGTGAGCCTAAGTACACAGAGCACCCCAGGAACCTCTGTCCTGAAGGTGACTGCTCACGACCCAGATGCAGGAGATAATGGCAGAGTGACGTACCGTACTGTACCTGGAGGGAGCTCACCTTTCTTCACCCTCAACAAAGATACTGGTGAGACTATTAAATGTACAAATTAGTTTTAATTATTAATAGCTTGGCTGTATTTTTAATTGGAGTTTAATTGGTGTGTATGTGTGTATACACACTACCGTTCAAAAGCTTGGGAGTTTGTGAGATTTTTGAAATGTTTTTTAACATCGCTTATCAAGGTTGCATTTACTTGATCAGAAATACAGTAAAAACAGTAATGTTGGGAAAATATAATTACAGTTTAAAATAACTGTTTTATATTTTAATAGATTGTTAAATATATTTATTGCTTTGATGGCAAAGTTGAATTTCCAGCACCATTACTACAGTCTTCAGTGTCACACAATCCTTCAGAAATCATTCTAATATGCTGATTTGGTGCTCAATAAACATTTCTTAATGTTGAAAACAGCTGCTTAATATTTTTGTGGAATTCATTATATTTTTTTCCAGGTTTCTAATGAATAGAAACGTTTGTTTTTGTAACATTTTGTAACTTTTGTAACATTATAAATGTCTTTACTGTGACTTCTAATCAATTTAATGGTGAATAAAAGTATTTTCTTTAAAAAAAAGAAAATCATACTGATCCCAAACTTGAACGTTTGTGTGTGTGGGTGGATGTATAAGATGAAGAGGTATTGTGCTTTTCTTGATGTATTCTGATAACTTTAAACCTAACAAAAATATTTCTATTGGGTGTGCGTTTTCCCAGGAGTGATTTCACTGTCGCGCGCTCTACATGGAAAGGCAAACTCAGTCATTACAATGGTGGTCTCAGCACAAGATGGTGGGGGCCTTACTGCTCCAGTCAATGCCAGGGTCAACATAAGCATAGTGGCAGGGCTGGTCGCCCCCCCTGTGTTTGAGCAAGCTCAGTACTTCTTCGTGGTCTCTGAGGATGCCCTGCGTGGAACACAAGTTGGAGTTGTGCGGGCCAGCACTAAGAATGGTGGGTGAGCTAATCTCAGAGGTTTTTATTCCCCCTCCTTTGGTCACAAATTCTTATTCAACACGCTAAAACACACAAACCAGACTTCAGTGTGTACCCACATTTATCAGTTACATTGGACTTTGTTCAAGTATGCTGAAAGACGTCTTCTGGCTTTTTTCTCCATGGTACAAATAGGCATGGAACCACTGTACACACCTCATTTACAATCGACATTAATCATTGATTCTGTTTCACCACTTAGTTTTTTAACAATTTGCATTGGATATTTGAGGCACTAAATTCTGGTCTCATGTGTTGAAAAATAAATCTTCGTCTTTGTTTTCGTCCTACACTGTGAACTAATGAGTCTCTGGCCATTTGCCTATTTCTTCTCAGGTGTCTCGAAGGATATCTCCTACACTATTAGTTCTGGTGATCCCACGGGCTACTTCACCATTGATTCTGAGACTGGGGCTTTGAGAACGAGCTTGCCTCTGGATCACGAGGCCCAACCCAGCTTGAATCTGGAAGTCCAGGCGCACTGCGGTAACCCCCCGGCCTTTGGCCAGACTAGGGTACGAATTACAGTGTCCGACGTCAACGACAATGCACCCGTCTTCTTGCCCTCATCCTCCGAGTCATTGATTCTGCCTGAAGACACCCGGATGGGTACAGTGGTGTACAAGGTCCAAGCAGAAGACCATGATTCTGGACCCAATGGTCTTCTGAGTTTTGACCTGTTCACCGGCGGTGCCCAGAGAACCTTCAGCATTGATCGCAACAGTGGACAAATCCGCCTGATTGGCAGTTTGTCATATGAGACCATGCCTCGCTATGACCTGAAGGTGATTGCCAAAGACAGCGGAGCACCTCAGCTAAGTTCTACCTTCACCCTTGTCATCCACGTGCAAGCCGAGAATGGCCAAGGCCCCGTGTTTGATAGCCTCACCTACCGAGTAGAGCTGAAGGAAAGCACGCCTCTCAACACTCGCTTCCTGCAGGTACGAGCTGTGAACCGAGATGGTGGCATCACCACTGGACCATCTTCTACATCTTCCGCCCCACTAGCCTACCACCTGCACCCAGACGGTGACGCTGCAGGGTTTGGCATTGTGTCTGACAACGGCTGGCTGTTCGTGAAAAGTTCCCTGGACAGAGAAGCCAAGGAGATGTACCTGCTTACTGTACTGGCCACATCAGGCAACGGACAGCTGAAGAAGACAGGTAGTGCCACAGTGCGTGTGTCAGTGATGGATGAAAACGACAACACCCCACGGTTTACCCAAGAGAGAGCGTTTCTGCCAGTGCGTGAGAACCTGCCGGCAGGCACTGGTTTTGGCCGGGTGTCTGCCAGCGAACGGGATGCTGGTCTCAACGGTCGTCTGAGCTACCGCCTGCTCCATCTGGATCGCCACTTCCAGATCAACTCCCACACAGGTGAGCTTCAAATATGGCAGATAGTCTAACAGACCAAAACGACTCGGAATGACAAGATCAACTTGGCACCTAGACAAATCTAGTGGTATTATGTTTGTCTGTTTAGAGTAGGGATGTGCAAAAACTACATATTTTCAAAATAGCCTATTTGTTTATGAATTAGTCAGACTGGTCTTAAGAAAGCACTGTATAAGTGCGCTGGTCATGTCCATTATAATTTCTTATTGATAAACTGACAGATATTTAGCGCATAATGCAGCACATAAATAGGCTACGAACAAAAAAGTAATTAGAAGTTTGAGAGTAATTGTATTCATTTTGAAGGATATGAATTTGTGCATTCAAATTTAGAGTAAAATTTCCAAGTTTTAGTGTGCTGGTAGTCTGACAGTTACGTATTGCTAGCATGCTGACTAACAGACAACAAATAAATAGGCTAAATACATATATAAATAAATAAATAGGCTAAATAACTAGCTTTCACAGTCCTCAAAAAAATGTGGAACATTGCTCAAACCAAGTGATTTGAAGTTTAATTGTGATTTTCGTTATTTTGAAGGTGGTGAATTTAGATTAACAGCTTTAGTTTCAGTTTTAGTGTGCTGATAGTCTGACTGTTACTGATTATTAGCATGCTAACTGACAGACATTCAAAATGCTAAATATTGTATGACCAAACTTTCAGTCCTCACTAAAAATAGAGAATATTACTCAAATCAAGCAATTTGAAGTCTTATTTTGAAGGTGGTAAATTTTTGAATTTGAATGTAGAGTAACAGCTTTCCAAAGAGAGATTTAACATGTTGATAGTCTGACAGGTAGTGATTGTTAGCATATTAACTGGCAGATATTCAACAAATAAATGGGAAAAATAATTACTATTACCTTTCATTTCAGAAAGCTGCCACAGTCCTCACAAAAACAATGTTATTTTGACTTGCTGTTAGCATGCTCTGTTAGAAGTTTTGACAAGAAAACTTAAAAATCTGCAATTTTTTAAAATGGTAGAAATCTCAATCTACAAACTAGCCAACCTCAGTAAACCTGTAGTCAGTTGGTGAATGGCTATTTGACTGTTCTGACCCTTCCCTAATGTGGAGCTGTTGAACATACTAGCCATCACACACAGCTCCAGACTTCTGGCACCATGTTAACTGTGGGGGTTCCTCTTGGTGAAGTCAGGAAGTGCCATCTGTGCCTTCTGCCACAGATGAAAATGTGCAGTAAAATAGTTTGTCTTGCTCTCTCTCTCTCTCTGTTTTTCTTTTTTTCGCCATCTGTCTTTAAGGTGAGATAAGCACAAAACTTTCCCTTGACCGTGAACTTCAGTCCAGCTACCAGCTCATGGTTGTGGCTCAGGATGGTGGGACCCCTCCGCGCAGCGCTACAGGCACTGCTTTCATCACAGTTCTGGATGAGAATGATAATGCGCCGTCCTTCAGCCATGCAGGAAGAGAGCTCTTGCTGCAGGTATTAGATATAAATCTCATGTCTTCTAGAAGAGAAAGACTGTACATTTTAAATGTGTACAGTATATGTGCTACAGGTTAATTTTGTCCACTTTTAGGAGTTCACATGGATAATAAACATGGACTAAAATAAATAAAACACTGATTTTGGAGTCATTACGAATATTAGAATGATTTCTGAAAGATCATGTGACACTGAAGACTGGAGTTATGGCTAATGAAAATTCAACTTTGACATCACAGGAATAAACATTTTCAAATTTAAAACAGTTATTTTAAATTGTAATAATATTTCACAATATTACTGTTGTACTGTATTTTTGATCAAATAAATGCAGCCTGGGTGAGCATAAGAAATTTAGTTCAAAAGCATTAAAAGTCTTACAAAATTTTGAATGGTATATTGATATTCTAAAGTTTCTACAAAGATTTCTACAGAGGAAAAATTATACAGATTTAATATACAGAAGTGAGCTGTATTGATAAAAGTGTTAACTGAAATCTCTGTGCAGGCGTTAGAAGGTCAGCCATCTGGATTTCTTCTGGGAACCATTCATGCAAAAGACCCTGATGAAGGAGAAAATGGAACTATTTTCTACTCCATGTCTGGTAAGATGTATGTAAAGATGCATGTAAAGATGCATTGAATCAAATTTTTTATATCTTACACAATGTCAAAACCAGATGCAAAGTTTACAGCAATAAGCATTTTTTCCGTCTACAATGAACAGGAAACTTCTGATTTAATACAAAAAAATAAGATTTAGTTCTTTGTGAGGATTGCACAGTATACTGATACTAAAAAAGTATTCCGGTACCAAAAATACATTATACCTGACCCGTGCAATAATACTCTGCTATTCTTCAAAGCTTAGACAGCATGACGTGAAGTGTAGAAAGTAATGTGTTGACGCGTGAGATCATTAAATATGTTTTGTAACACATTTACTAAATTTGACACATAACTATTTCATTCTGTAATTTGTGTAAATCAAATCCAGATGGGATCAACACTGAAGTCATATGCACACTTTGTACAGTAGAAAAATGGTCAATCAAATCATTCTTTATCACCCTGATGCACGCTAACTTGACAAACTTGACCCGTTCCATCCTGTCTTTGCTGTAGGTCCCAGAGCCGAACGTTTCACACTGAACCCAAACACTGGAGAGCTGCGGTCCTCTTCCCCTTTGAGCCATTCAGAGCGGCCTGAGTACAATTTCATCGTTCTGGCCTCGGACCGAGGTTCACCCCCTCAGAGCTCCACCGTAACATTGAAAGTTCAGGTCAGATGAAACGGTGGCTAGGTTGAGATACACCTAGAGTCTGTTAACCAGTTAAACGAAATCATGCAAATTTAATCCAATGGATGATAGATGGATTAAACATCTGAGGCACGTCTGAGCAATAAAACGCCTTCAGCCTCTCGTTCTTTGGCAGGTTTCCTGACAAATTTCCTAGCAATGTATATTGTGCCTTGATTAGTTATGGCTATAAACCTTCAAAAATGAAGGTAACACAAGGGACTTTGGTCATATCAAAGATTGGCTTCATCGTAAATTAAAAATAACACCTTCCGCCACACGGATCTACTCATTACCTTTTCATAATATGCTAAATGATTTATTTAATACTGTTATATGAAAATATGAACTTGTAAACTATCCTCTACAGGAATGGATCCATTTACATCTGCTTTCAGGTTAAACATCATGCAAAGGAAATATAGAATGATCTAGTTGGCCTAATCAAGGCTTACATTCTTGCATTGCAAATTTCCCTAGCCAGCTCATCTAGCCTAGTCCAAGTCGTGTAACCTTCCCCAAGCAATGCCGGGAAAAATACTCTCAGCTGGCTAATTTTAGGTGCTCAAATATGAATGTCTTAACCTAGACTTTTTCTCCCATTTTTTTTCCGTTGTTGTCTGCAACATTTTAAGCATGATATTACTGTGTAAAACACTCAAAGTAGGAGTGACTGACTCCCAGCTGCACCGATACAAGTGCCAGCTGTGCGTTCTGCTATGCTGTGTCGAAGCCTCGTAATACAGTTCAGTAGCCCTTTGATGAACAGAAAACTCCTTGTGAAATACCCCAGTGATCAAATTAATATTTCTCAAACGAGTCAACGGAGTGGAAACAGACACAACGGACAGCAACAGTAGTAAATTCCAGCGTGCAAATGCCTGGAAAACACATGTATGCTGTATAACCATTCAATATTGTTATGTATGTGCCAAGACAAATAATAAAGTTCCTAATTGATATCTAATTAGAATAAAAGAGCTCTGGCAAGGCTTTGATTCTTTCAGAAATCAATAGCTTGACTCAAAAGCAGCTGTGTGAAAAAAGTAGATATTTTGTTGGAACGTGCTTTGACATGTCATTTACCACTTAATGTGGGATTAATTACCCCTCTGTCCTATTATATTTCATTAGAAGACTTGGCCTCGAGAATCTCGTTACTGCCAATATACTTATCACACTGGTGCATAATGATGATTTAGTCATAGTAAAAAAAAAATAGGTTATGCATGAGCACCTGTGTTGCAGTGCATGCTTTTATTTTCAAACTTGTTTGAGTTCTACAGCATAGATTTTGAGGTTCAGTGTCTTGCCTGTGCTGTGTTTGTATGTGTGTCTTTCCTTATCTAAATGTTTGTTTCCATCTCTCTCTATGTGTCTGTCTCTCTCTTTCTGCACACACACAGACATACACAGTCTCTTATAACTATCAAAACAATGTCTCATCTGCTAAGAGAAACTGCAGGCTTCCATATTAGGAAGCGATGTTATCTTGCTTTGAAGTGCTTCTGAGTCATCTATGAGGATTCTGTATTTTTATTAAGAATATTTGCACATTTGAATGTTCTAACAGTTTCCTATTATGATTATGTTTACTTTAATCCAGTATTATTTTTCCTGGCAGTCACAGACCAATCAAATTAACTCTGATTAATGCTAGCAGGTTTGTTGTTTGAGCTTGTAAAAGCCCAAAAAAAGTTTTGTTTTTTATTCCCTGTAATAAGAGAAGAAAATGTGTACTGCAGTATGTTTCTACTTTGTTGGATTTCATTTGTAGTCAACTAGCAGGACACAGTTTAAAAATGGGTTGCAGGTCTGTTCTGGTATATAAATTAATTAAAAGAAAAATCAAATAATAAAATGAAAAACCTAGTGTTAGTTATTTGTACTTTATGGTAATAAAAAATACTTTTTTACATTTTTGTTTACTTTCATACAATAATCGTGAACAGATTAATGTAAAGTAAAGAAAATATGAATAATTCTTATTTAGCTTATGTTCCTGAAATAGTTTTCTTTTTAATTTTATTTTAAGTAATGATTTTGTGTGTGTGTGTGTGCATGTGGTTTTCATTTTAATTTCAGTTAACGGTAATAAACCTGTTTAGATCCCATGTAAAATCTAGGTCTTGAAGAAAAAGTTATTGTACAGTACTAAAATATAGTACAAAATATACAAAAGGAAAATAATAAAAAAAGAAATAGGAATTCTTCATTTTTTCTTTTATCTGTAAAGTTTAAAGGAGTTTGATCCAATGAATCATATATAACCCCATTATTTCCATTCCTGTTGCCAAATTAACATGTCAAACATTTAGCCGTGCTTTGCATTCATCATTTCAGTTTCTAAATCTAATATATAAATGTCATTCTTTACAGGTTGTAAGCTCAAATAAAGGATCACCCACCACTAACTCCCAACCAATAACACTGAATTCAGTGGAGGGAGCTAAACCTGGCTCAATCGTGGGGTCTGTTCGTTCACCTGATTCTCAGACTCTTCCTGAAGTAGGCCAGGTCACGTATACTGTGGTGGGAGGCACCGACTGCGACGGCACCTTTGTGGTAGACCGTCAGACGGGTGATGTTTACCTAGCCCGTGAGCTTGACTACGAAAAAGCTCCTCGATACACTCTCCAGATTGAGGTTGACGACTTCTCCATGCCTCTCCCTAAAAGTCACTTTGTCACATTGGTAATCGATGTCCAGGACAGTAACGATCATGCTCCTGAGTTTCCTGAAGATCCCGTTATCATAGTCGTCCCTGAGAGCACAGATCCTGGGTCGTCTATCTACACCTTTCAGGCCATTGATAAAGACGGAAGTGGACCCAACAGTGAAGTGCATTATTCCATCCTGCAACAGTGGCCAAACGTTCCAGATCTCCTGTTCCTGGATCCAACTACAGGAGTTCTCTCTCTGGGAATGATGTTGGATCATGAGAGGACCTCTTCACTACTCTTGGTGGTTCAGGCGACAGATTCGGCCCCCGATGTCAGTCAGCAGCGCCGTGGAACGGTCACAGCACGGATATTTGTCACTGACGTGAATGACAACGACCCTGTGTTCATCTCACCGTCCGTGGTGAGTGTGATGGAGGACCAGCCTGTGGGTTTTGTCGTGGTCTATGTCATGGCTGTAGATGCAGACCAGGGAGAGAACGGACGAGTGACGTACCGTATCCAGAGTGGCAACACCGGAGGAAAGTTCAGCCTTAACCCAGATACAGGTAAACCAGTCAACAGATCCATCTGAATGAAATACATGGTGCTCAAGAAACATTTCCTAATTATTATCAATGTTGAAAACATTTGTGCTGTTTTTTGTGGAAACTGTGATATTTTTTTCAAGATTCTTTGATGAATACAAAGTTAAAAAAGAACAGCATTTATTTGAAATTTAAAACTTTTGTAACACTATAAATATCTTTATAATATCTTTACTGTATCTATAAATATCTTTACTGACTGGTGTTTGTAAAATTATAATAAGAAGGGTAAGCACAACTGCAATGCAACTGTATATTTGTATATTGTTTTGCGTTTTGAGTGATTTGTTTTCAAATGCTATGGCCAGTTACTCAAACCGCCAGTAACATCAAGACATGCAGCAGTAGCAGCAAACCTCTTATGATTAAACTGTTGTGTGAACAGGATTAGTTCACCCAAAAATAAAATTTCTATCATCATTTCCTCACCCTCATGTCGTTCTAGACCCTTATGGCTTCCTTTTTTTTCTGTGGGAAGATTGCATTGCATGCAAAATTCACCATCATTTTGATTCTGCATTTCTGCTTGACTCGCATCTTTTTTAAAATGCCCTTTAGTTCTCTTAATCCTAAAAACCGCCAGTTCAACATCTCAGCCATTCTGAGAAATTCTGCCCTGTGCTGTGAGTTCGGAACAGTTTCTCTCATCTGTGTGTGTGTGTGTGTGTGTGTTTGTGCATTAGTGCATCATGACAT